GCTGCTGCTGCTGCTGCTGCTGCTGCTGCTGCTGCTGCTGCTGCTGCCGCCTTAGCACACTTCCATCCCTCTCCCCTTTGCCCCTCTGGGGTAATAAATCTCATTTGTGCTGAGAATTTGGTGTCCGGCATGTCCTGTACCGGCTCTGAGGTGGCTCCCCTCTCATACAGGTGTTGGTGGCTCTGGAAGTGCATATTTAGTACAGGATGGCACTCTGCCTCTCAACCAGGAACATCCAGAAATCCACCAAGGCAAATAACAGAGTGCCCTGGAAAGGTCCTTCCTAGCCTAAACAGCAAGCCCATCAGTACCTAGGTTCTGGCCAAAGTGGCCAGTGCCATGAGGGTGGGGATGGAACAGGAAACAGCTGGGCTCACAGCTGGATGGAACTCTTCTATCCCAAAGAGTCCTTCCCAGGAGTAAGGAACAGGAGAGCTCAGTCGGGCTGCAAGGGTAGCTGGAGGATGGATGCCACCATCCCTGTTAATACATAAATAAACCCCAAACCATCTCCATCCCTTGGCTGCTCTCTATTTATCACTCAGCATCCCCATCACTCACCGTTATATGACATCTACGGGTGCTGAGACCCTCTCCCTCCCCACCTGCCAGTCAGATGCCTTCCAGCCATACCATAGTGAAAACAGTGGTGTGGGAGGGGCTGGAGATGGGCCTGGAAGAGCCCAGGCATGCACAGATTCAGGATCGGCAGCCAGAGAGCCCTGAGAGGTGGCATGGCCCTGCCCCAGGGACTTTTTCTCGGCTATGGGTCCTCCCTGATCTCTATTGTATTCTTTTGGGACTTAGAAATTGCCCAACTCTAGGCATATACAAGATGCATGACTTTGCTCCCACTGGACTCTCAACACACACTCCATTTTCCACCGCCCTTAGGCCCCACGAACTAAGCACCTCGCGCTCCTGCGTGTATTCTTTGGTAGTTTTGAGAAATGTGGACCTTAGGAACAAAACTCAAGTCCTCTGCAAGAGTGCCAAGTGCTCTTAGCTGCCGAACCATCTCTCCAGACAACTCGACGTCTTTTGAAAAGGCTGGAGCGCATTATAGCAAATCCCAGCAGGTCAGGGAATGCTTGAGCCACCAGACTGTCGCCGCTTCTCCTTTAAGCAGCGTTTGCTCTAGGTAAAGCCTGGTGGAACCTGGAAACTTGGGACCCAAGCCCAGCGGATCCTAGGCGCCACTTCCTCTCGTTTCTTTGACGGTGTGAGTGTTCACTTTTGCTGTGTTTGGTTGCACTTTGCCAGCTGGATCTTTTTGTTGAAATGCGAACCCTTTCGTCCCCTATCCAGTCTGTTGTTTCCAAGCACTTTTATTTTGATAACGAATATTGCTTTAACCTGGATACTGTGTTCTATCCCTGTCCGTCATAGTTTATTCAAAACAGAGCAAAACTCTGGGTATTACTTCAACCAGCTACTTCACTCTTCTGGGTGAACTTTCTGGATCTTCACACAGACAAATGTGGTCTTCCTAGACTCCGAGCTCATGATATCTTTAATGTGGTAAAAGATGCACAGTACCTGCCCACAGAAGGGCCGAGGCTAGACCCGGGTATGTAAACACACACAAGGTCCCTGACCTGGAAAAACCCAAAATTAACTGTGAGAGGTGGGTCGTTAAATAACTCACAATGTAGCTATGCGTTGCGCTCACCACAGCAAGAAGTGCGGGGAAAGCAATGCGGAGGAGGATTCAGTCTTACAAGATGAGGGATGAGGGGAACTTCAGAAAGACTGTTGGTTCTGAAATGGGCATGAAGGCTAAGGGTGCATGTGGCGATGGGTGCATGGAAAGCAGGTTCTAGGCTGTGAGATGCGCTTTTAAAAAAGGTGTGGGGTAGAAAGAAGGGGTGGGGAACGGTGGGGTGATCAGTACTTTCACAGAGAGGTACTCTTGCTGGCACGAGGGCCGGAGAAGCAGGCAGAACCCAGACCACAAAGGCCTTAGATGCCAACCTTGGTTACATTTGTTCTTGGTTAAATTTGACTTTCAAACCCTGCGTTTAGTCATGTGATGAAGTGGGCCTCATTCATCTTGCTTCTGCGTTCGCGAAGCATTTTGCCTAACAAATTATATTGGTGAATTAAGTACGGCTATTGTTCGATTAATGAAGAACCGTGGGTAGCCAGGCGCCGTGGCGCATGCCTGTGATCCCAACACTTGGGGAAGCAGAGGCAGGCGGATCTCTGTGAGTTCGAGGCCAGCCTGGTCTACAAAGAGACTCCAGGACAGCCAAGAGAAACCCTGTCTCGAAAAAAAACCTAAAAAGAAAAAAAAAAGGAACCGTGGGGAATTCGTTGATCGTGTTCTCTACTTAGAAAGAGACCAAGCCTTGACCAGTTTTGGTCTGCCAAATGCCAGGTTGCAGAGTTTCTTCTTCTCTCTGCCTCTGATTTCTATCCAGTTCTGTGTAAGGAAAAGCGGGTAGCTTCAGAATTGTATCCCCGAAGCCCCTGGGCAAGACCCCAGACTGGACTGTTTCCAGGGCGCTTCCGACTACGGTGGGTGTGGCTAGGATGTGGGCGGGCCCAGCGTGGGCGGGGTTGCTGCCTGCCCGGGCCCGGAAGTGCCCGTGTGGGCGGAGGTGAACTGTACTTGGAGTTCCTGACACAGTGTCACCGGCTTTGAGGGCAGCGGCCTGCTTGCTCAGGAACTCGCCCAGCCGCCGCGATCTCACAGCCGCCGCTGCCGCCCGGGACGATGACGCCGCGCCTGCTGCTGCGCGCCTGGCCCCGCGGCCTCGCGCTTGTCCCGGGAGCCCCTAGTCGGCCCTCCAGTACAGGCTCGGGACCCGATGAGTACCTGCAGCACAGCATCGTGCCCACCATGCACTACCAGGACAGCCTGCCCAGGTGAGCCCAGCCTCCTGGCCCCGGGCGCGGGACTAGCCCTGGACCTCCCTCCTCCCCGGACCTCCCGCCCTGAAGGCAGCCCCAGTCCCGGGTTTGGAAAGCCGGCGACTTTGAGAATTCTCTGGCTCAGAAGACTCAGAAACCTTAAGGTCCCCTTAGGTTTACAAGTTTCATCTTGATGCCTACAAACTTCCTTTCCATCAATCTTTCTGACAGCTATCCTGAGCCCCTCACACTTAGTGCCTGAAAACCACCCGAGTCCTTTCAACTAGGGTAGCCAATTCCTTGTTTTGTTTTGTTTTGTTTTGTTTTGTTTTGTTTTGAGACAGGGTTTCTTTGTCTTTGAACTAGATTTGTAGACCAGGCTGGCCTACAGAGGTCTGCCTGCCTCCTACTCCTGGGATTAAAGGCATAGGACACCACCACGCAGGGAGGATAGCCAATTCTTAACACTGATCAGTTTCCACTATTCACCTTCTTTGCCTATTGCTGAGAACCCTCAGCCCACTCCTTCCCTGATCTGTTAATATCCCATCAGTTGCCACAAGCACACCTTCCTGCTCAAGCTAGCACTCTTTCTTAACTTCTAAGGTCGGACCTAACCTAGAAACTTCTCATCCCCACCAAACCTTCCTTAGCACTCTTTTCCGGCGGTCCCCAACACCTGGCCCAGATTATCTGACCTATTCAGACAGCCATAATATAAGTGTTCTGGCACCTCCTCTCCCCCATACCCAGAACTTCCTTAAATCTGTACTCTGGTTTTTCTCTTTGATCTCTCAACTTTGATCTGGTTTGCCAGATCTACTCCAATAACAGAAATTACTTTTGCTGTAAGTCAAATCTAAATTATATTCCCTGCTTTCACTGTTTCTTTCCCAAACCAAGCTCCATCCCTGTTTCACAATCCCTTCTCACTGTCCGGGCCCGGCAGCCAGCGGTCCTCAGGTCCCGGTGCTTCTTGCTCCGTCCAGGAAAAGACAAACACTGTATTGTTCCCTCCGCAGGATTTGTGTTTTATGTTTTCCTCAACATCCAGCAGCTATTTAACCCAGTGTCATCTGCCCCACTCTGCCTTCTCAGCAAGAACATCCAGTGTGCGAACGTGTAAGACAAACCCCGGGGAGGTTATCTGAATTCAGCAGGAGGGAGGGGCAGAGAGAAAGGGTCTTTACAATGGTAGGGTGAGGGTGTAACTGCCCTCCCGACAGCCTGCGTGAGCGGCACCAGTATGTAGGGGAAAGGTGAGGACTTTGGAGAGTGTGCTTGCACTTGGGCACTGACTAGTGTCTTGCCCGGCTTTACGGTCAGAAGGGCTGTTGGCATTTTAGAATTGGAAAACTCTTAAGAACAGTCACCATTCTTTGGTACCACCCCAGCACAAACATCTGCAGGATCCTGCAGACATAAGCATAGGCCTTTAATCCCAGCGCTCGGAAGGTGGAGGCTGGCTGTGAGGTCCAGGCAGGCCTGATTTATATAGTGAGTTCCAGGACAGCCAGAGCTACGTAGTGAGAACCTGTCTTGAAAAAAAAAACAACAACAACAACAAAAATGCTCCTCCCCCTGAAGAACCCCATAGCACTACTATATACCCCCATGGAACAGCCAGCCTCCTGGTACTGCATCTAGAACTGGAAATACTCTCTGTGCCACCAGTTCTGGCCTAGTAAAATATATCTTTGACACTCATATTGATGTCACACTTGGCAAGGAGCCCTGACCTTGAGGTCCCAGAGAACTTTGTTTCAGATTCTGTATCTGCCACTAGAGCTATGGCTTTGCACAGTCATCTGGGCTTTGAATGGCAACACGGTTCTTTGGACTGTTAGGAGGTACTTGAGATAAGATGCCAGGGATGGGGAAAATCATTGTCACTCCCATTCTATCCCTCTTATCACTGCTTCCTTTTAGCCACATTGGCCTTGGACTTGAATTACCATTTGCTTGTTTTTTGTTTTTTTTTTTTTTAAGTGTTTTGTTATTGTATATGCTAAGATGTATGTGACAGGAGCCTAAAGCAATGGCTCAGTGGGCCCTTCCAGAGGACAGTAGTGTGGCTCCCAGCCCCCACAGCCAGCAGCCAACTAACTGCCTTAACTCCAGCTCCAGAGGGAGGGCTTAGAATTCAGCAGCTCTCTTGTTGGGACAGAGTTCACAAGCATGATGACTGGTGCTAGAAGAGAATTGTTGAACTGTGTGAGTGAGTGTGTGGGGAGGTTTGGGAAGCCGCAAAGAAGAGGTGACGCTGACCTGGAAATTATTTTGTTTTGTGTGTGGGTTTTTTGTTTGTTTGTTTGTTTGTTTGGTTGGTTGGTTGGTTGGTTGGTTTTTTGAGACAGAGTTTCTCTGTGTAACAGCCCTGGCTGTCTTGGACTCACTCTGTAGACCAGGCTGGCCTTGAACTCATAGAGATCCTCCTGCCTCTGCCTCCCAAGTGCTGGGATCCAAGGTGTGCGCCACCACTACCTGGCTGGTTTTGGGTTTTTTTTTTTTGTGTGTGTGTGTGTGTGTGTGTGTGTGTGTGTGTGTGTGTGTGTTTTTAACCTGGGATTTGACATTTTCCAAGTGAGAGGAAGACAAAACTGTAGCCCGGGAAAAGGTACCTGAGACAGTGTCACGCGTGGAAAGGCTGACAGGTTTACAGGAGGCCTGTGTTAGCACAGAGCTTCACTGTGTACCCCATGTTGTCTTGGGGGCTGGGATGTTTAGCAGGGAGGGTCCTTATGGGGAGTCATAGTAGTTAAGCCAGGCGTGGTGGCACACACCTTTAATCCCAGCACTCGGCAGGCAGAGGTAGGTGGATCTCTGTGAGTTCGAGGCCAGCCTGGTCTACAGAGTGAGTCCAAGACAGCCAGCGCTATTACACAGAGAAACTCTGTCTCAGGAAACAGAAACAGACAAAATGTACAGTTGACCCATAATAATAAATGCCAGCTATCTGTTGCTTTCTTTTTTTTAATCACCTGATAGCAGGTGTTCAAAACCTGATGGGCGGATATGTAGAATACATGGGGGTGGGGGGCAGGGAGGGGGAGAGGAGCAGCCTTTACCCGGCCACTAGGGTAACTGGTAGACAGTAATGTGTGAGCATGTCTTTCAGGACAGTCTGATTGATTCCCAGAATAACTCTATTCCTGAATGACTTTTGTGAACACTGTCCTGTAGACAGGGAAAGCTTTTTAGCCGTGTTCTGGCAGGAAGAATGCCAGAGTTCCTGCTATTAGGAGGCAGAGCAGGTGTGAGAGCGGGTGACTCAGTAGCTTATACAGGAGGTGGATCTGCTTAGCATTTCCCCTTCATCTTTATTAGGGCAAATGACTGTCAGGTGGGGGTGGGATGGAACAGGAGAGCGTGTGGTTAGGACAGAGTTCCTTCGAGCACCTTTCCAGACCTTGGCTCTGAGTCCTGGTGAATCACCCCAGAGGAATGGAAATGCCCTCCCGTCTTGATTTTGTTACAGAGGAATGGTTGGGGAACACTCTAAAAAGGAGGTTGTTAGAAGAGTCTTTGTACATGGTGCAGAAAGTCCAGTTAAGCTGGCTCAAGGAGCTCAGGTCTGTGCGCTCACACAGGCTTCCGGAATCCGAGTGCCGGCGCCTTCTTCATTTGTGCGGCTTCATTCTCAAGCAGGTTTCCTTCTCGTGGTTGCAGAGACATAAGCAGATTTTCTCCTTGTGGTTGCAGCCAGCCCATGAGGCTTAGCTCACACCCAGTCTCTTGGTGACCAAGGCTGGTGAATGTTGCTATTTCTTAGAAATTCCAAGACAGCCCTGTCTCCCTGGCTCTCACTAGGTCTCCTAATATCTGACCATGAGGGCATAAGCCCACATTCAAGGTGGGTCTTCCCACTTAACCCAATATGAACTTTCCTCACAGGCAAGCCTGCAGGCTGGCCCCTCCCAGACAGTTCCTCGTTGAGATTACTCCCAGGTGATTCTAGGTTGCGTCAAGTTGACAATCAAAAACAGTCATTGCACGCGATTGTAATCTGGGCTGGCTGCTCTGCTAACCCCAGGCATCCCTGTCTCCCTCCATCTAGTGCTCGGATTACGAACACATCCTGCCACACCTAGGGTTTTGTCTTTGTTGATTTTGAAAGTGGATTCTGGAGGCTCAAACTCAGATCCTCAAGCTTTTTAAGCACACACTTTGCTGACCCAGCCATCTTCCCAACCTTGAAGTCACTGTCTTCAAGTGTATAATTTTTAACATAGTATTTTAGCATTGTGCAACCGTCACTGCTGTGAATTCATTTTATCATCCTTTCCCCCTCAAGCCCTGTCCCATTCTGTCTGCCACCCATTGTAACCCTTGATCTTCCCTCTGGAAGGTGACCTATCATTTGAACTCAGGATTGCCACAGGGGTCAACAGTCATGTATTTTCTACCAGACTATCGCCAAAGAGAATAAACTGCAGTTGGCAAGATCATGCTGCTTCCGTTGTTTTCACTCTTATGCCCTCCTTGGAAGGAGCTGTAAAGGCGGAGTAGTAAGCTGTTGGAATGCATTCAGTCCTGAGAAGACATGAATGTTTAGGACGAGGGAGACGGCAAGAAGCACAGATGATGAGGATGATGTTCAACCCACAGAATAATTGGAGAGTTTCTAACTGTATCTTCTATATGATAACAACTTCAGGCATCCATTAATGATCTCACAGACTGCTGAGGAGGAAAATAAGAATTGCCACTAAATTAAAAAAAAAAAAAAAAAACCTATTTGTGTGTCTGAGTGTGTGTGTACAAACAAGTGCATGCATGTTCTGTGTGGGCATTCATGTTCTGTGGCATGTATGTGGAGGTCAGAGGACAAATTTCAGGTTCTTTTTCATCACGTGGGTGCCTGGGGATCAATCAAGGCTTGGTGGTAAATGCCCTTACTCACTGAGCTCTCTCATTGGCTCCTGCCTCTAGATTTGGTAGAGAAAAGCCTGGAAGAGTGAATTCTTCTTCTTGGGAAGTGAATTCTTCTTGGGAGTGGGTTATTATTGAGAGAGTAAGCGTGTTATATAATATCCAGTTTCTAAATAAGAAATAAATAGGGACTGGAGAGATGACTCGGCAGTTAAGAGCGCCAGTTACTTTTCCAGAGGACCCAGCTTCAATTCCCAGCACTCACATGGTGGCTTACAATTCTCTGTAACTCCAGTTCCAGGGGATCAGACACCCTCACACAGGCATATATACACATACAATAAATTTAAAAAAAAAAAGGAGGAGGGAGGTACATCCCAAGCCATGCTCAAAAAAGATAGATAGCATGAAAAAAAAAAAAAGATAGATAGATACATAGATAGATAGATAGATACATAGATAGATACATAGATACATAGATAGATACATAGATAGATAGATACATAGATAGATAGATACATAGATAGATAGATAGATAGATACATAGATAGATAGATAGATAGATAGATAGATAGATACATAGATAGATAGATACATAGATAGATACATAGATAGATACATAGATAGATACATAGATAGATACATAGATAGATAGATAGAGATAGATAGAGCAAAGAAGCCTTCCCAGATTCCCCAACCTCCAGAGTGTAAATTTCTCTTTGTACGTGATGTTGCCTTGTATTGTGACAGCATAAAACAGACTAAGGCTGGGTAGAAGAGGAAGTAATACGCTAATTCATCAAACAAGTTTATTAAAAGCCTGCCCTGTCTTGGCCCATGCACCAGTAGTGATCAGAGGAGAAAGTCTACGGGAAGAATTAGGAGTTGAAGGGCCTTCTCTGTAAGGTACCGTAAACACAAGAGGCAGTTCTGTGCCCTCCTCCCTGGCTTCACACTCACAGACGTCACCCTGGTGGCTGGAAGTCGTCTCTGGCAGGGGTGTGTATACAGCACGGAAACTAGCAGATGTTACAATTCGGGGTTTATCCCAGGTTGCTCCTGGAGCGAGCCAACAAATCTCTCCTCTTCTGCATCATTTTGCTTCCGATTTTTGTCACTGCGATGAAGAATCTTTCATCCCGCAGTTAGTAATTCCAAAGTCACCACTCTGAAAATGTCCATTTTCCTCTGAAGAAACTTCTGTCGGCCCAGAATTGATCATTCAGAAGTTTTTACTAAGGGCTGTGTTTTAACAAACCACCGCTGCTGTCTCTGATTTAGGATTTTCCTTAAAAAGAAAAAAAAAAGTTCCTTAATACCGTTGGTGTTAAAGCCTAAGAAATAGAAACAGTAAGTTTTGTAGAGGTGGTATTTAGTTGTGCCTCAAAGGGAGTCTATGGGGCTAAAGTGTCCTCATACTTGGGGTATCTAAGTTCACAATGGCTGTAAATAATTTGTATTTATTTTTATTATTAAACTATAGATAAACCTGCATTGAAAAATAAGTAGATGCAGTGTAGGATTATCATAAAATGAGCTGTGTTTTGTGGATAATGGCTTGGTTTTCATGAATGACTGATAAAGGTCAGTATCTTGCAGATAATTTCATTTTTGGTAGAAGTCAAGAAAGAAGCTGTTATCTTGTTAATACTGAGGTGTTTGCCTGTTAATAAAACTATGGAAGAGGCAGAGAAGACGGCATGTTATTGGCATTTCATTTCCCCATTGGACCAGTATCCTCGCCACCATAGCCCTGACTGGGAATCTGCTGGCGAGTAAGCCAGCAGTGGGTGTCCGTGAGCACACGGGGATGCCCCCGCGGTTCCTGACAGGATGCTGGTCCGCCCGTCGTGTCGTGATCAGTTTCTACCTCTCAGTGCAGCCTCCATATCAAGCTCTTTCGGACAGATCTTTCTTTTGTTCTTTGTTTTGATTTTTATTTTTTCTGAGACAGGGTTTCTCTTTGTAGCACGTGCCCCACATCTGCCTTTGCTTCACTCTTTTGTAAAATGCTCAAGAATGTTTTACGACTGTAGTCCCCCCCCCCCCTTTTCGTCATGGCTGTAGGGAATTTATGTTCAGTCAAAGGGTTAGGACTTAGTACTATACAGTATAGTATAACTTTGGCCAGGAAACAGAAATGCCTGTGCTATAGCCTCTGCTTCCTGGTTTAGAATCTATTATTTAAAATACTCTAATAGTAATTTTACTAGACTAGACTGGACGAGACAACTGCTGATGCGGTAGTCAACTCAACAGCTCTGATAGCATTTATTTACTCTGGTGCTGGGAATCAAACCGAGGACCTCGTGCATGCTATACTTGGGAAGTGCCCCACCACTGCCTAAGTCTCAGCCCTGTCCACATCAGTTCTGATGTTCCATTTTTTAAGGGGGGATTAATGGTCCAGTAGTTGGTTTGCTGGTTTGGCTTGCAAAGCTTCTTGGTATCTTCCCACACTGTCAGCCTCACACTGACTCCTTTCTCCCTAGGTTGCCTATCCCCAAACTAGAAGACACCATGAGGAGGTACCTCAGTGCGCAGAAGCCTCTCTTGGATGACAACCACTTCAGGTGAACACCGAAAACCCCAGGGAACCCATCGCAACAGGTGGAGCTCAAGAGAGGCTCGCCAGTAGTGATCACAGACCAAGCTTCAAGGGATATCTGTGGTCTGACAAGGCCTCCAGAACCTGGAACCTGCTTTATAGATTTGCAGCTTCAGGAACTGGGTTTTCATTAACGAAGGACTGACTAATCAGGCTGGGGTCAGAGGTCCAGCAAGAGATGGTGTGTAAGCCAAGGCCGCCTGCTTGTGCTTTTATTTTGGGAGGCTGGCTAGTACTAGCCACATTCAGAAGGCCTGTGTTCTGGGGAGGGAGGTCCGTAAGATTATAGGGCAGACAGAGCTTGCTTGCTGAGGGTGTTGACCAGCTTGGACACTGAGCCCCAAACACATGCCCTTTTCAGAACCCCAGAACAAGACCTTATGTGGAAACCAGGCTGTTGCAGATGCAGTTAGTTCAGATGAGGTTCTACTGGGATCGGGTGGGTCCCTCGTCCAACACGGCTGGTGTCCTTAGGAGAGTCAGGGACAGCCAGGAAGGACTCAGGTAGAGATTGTGTAAGACCTGCAGTCTCACAGCTCAGGAGCTCAGGATCACGCCCTTCCCAGGAACACTTACAGACCACAACTCGATGCAAAAGCAAGAGGTTTATTCCAATCACCATAGGGTCGCCCCTCCAAAGACAGGAGACGACCCTGACCATGCAAAGCACAGGGTTTTTATACCTGAAAATCAGACCACTTTTGCTCTATACATTGATTGGTCAGCAAGAATAGCATGAAGATAGTTTACAGCTGGTTGTAGATACTTTTTTTCTCAGAACAGTTCACCCTGCTCTTCAAGAGCTATCTGCATCTGGCTTCAATTCAAATAATCACAGTTGTTTTTCTCATTCCCCGGGTGGTCCCTCAATTGGAGTGTTGTGTCACAAGCCAAGGACACCAAGGGTTGTTGGGACACCGGAAGCCAAGAGAAGTGCACGGGACAGAGTTTGTCCCAGGGTTTGCAGAGAGAACACCATCTTATTGATCTCTCTGGGATTTTATTTTTGTTGGTTTGTTTGTTTGCTTTTTTGTTTTGTTTTGTTTTGAGACAGGGTTTTTCTACATAGTACTGTTGTCCTGGAACTCACTATGTAGACTATGCTGGCCTTGAACTCATAGAGATCTGCCTCCCTCTGCTTCCAGAATGCCGGTAGCAAAGGCATTTGCCACCACCCTCAGTAAGGTCCTGTTCTTCTAGGCCATTTTGGGTTTGTGGTACTTGTTAGAGCAACCTCAGGAAACCGACAGGAAACCGACACAGCACTGGGAATTGCCAGAGTGGAACTGCGTCAGAGCCTTGGAGCTTAGTATGAGTGGTGCTGTCTTCCACAGTGGGAATTTTCTGTACAGATCGCTAGCATTGTTATTAGAATCACAGTGTCCTTCACTGCACAGCGAGAGAAACAGATCAACCATGAACTGCTCGAAGTCTACACTTCTGCTTTGAAATAGTCCCCAACAGTTCCTCTTAATGAAGCCATGGCTTCCAGTCACTGCATCGTGTTTTCCTCTGTCCTGAGTCCTTAGCTTTATGTTTTTTTAACTCCTTGAGATGGCATTATTATCTCTGAGAAATGGAGATATTGGGTAAGTTGTCTGAAGTCACCCGGTTAGAATGTGGCAGAGCTAGGATTCAAACTTGGCTCCTTTTGGTCCCAAAGCTTTCCTCCATGCCATGGGAATGGTAGCGTCGACCTTCCCAATTCCCTAGGTGTATCTGTTTTAGGCTGATGTGCGCTCCTCTCTTCAGGGGTACTTCCTGATCTTATTCCCAGCATCTGGGATACACTGTGGGGGACCAGAGTGTGCCTTCCTGGCCAGGAACCCGAGAGTCACGTATTCCCCACTGTGGTTTCATCTGTCTTCTCTTGAACATTCCAGGAAAACGGAAGAGCTGTGTAAGAGTTTCGAGAGCGGCGTGGGGAGGGAACTGCACGCCCACCTGCTTGCCCAGGATAAGCAGAACAAGCACACCAGCTACATCTCAGGTAGGTCGGTGGGTGGGGCACCATTGGCTCCCCGGGACCACATCTCAGTTCCCCCCCTTCCTGAAGTATGTGGAGGGAGGCTGTGAACCCCAGTGCTTAGGCAGGTGTGGGCTGGCAGCCGTGCTCAGGACGAGTGGCTTGCCCAGGCTTAATTGATGCCGTCTGAAAAAGATGGGCGATGTCTTGAGTGTCGTTCTGCCCTTCGCTGTCTGGCCTAACTGTCCCCTGCAGCTTCCGCTCACCTGCCTCTCTGATGGAAGTCATGTCGCCTCTGGCTTCCTGAACTCTGTCAGGCTTTTGTCCGTGTTGTTTTCATTTTCCCTTTGTTGCTGGCAGATCCTTTCTTTGAGGTCCAGGTAGAGCAGTTGGTCTGTGAAACCACGGTTCTTTGTCTTCAATCTAGAGTTAGTGGTGTTCACCCCTGTTTTTACACTATTTTTTTTTTAATGTAGGTGTTTTGTTTTTTAATTTAAAAAGTGTTTTATTGGTTTTGCGATGAGGGTCTCCCTTGGTAATCCAGTCTGGCCTCAACTTCATGATCTCTCTGCTTCGAGTAGCTGGGATTGCAGATGTACTGCTATACCCAGCATGATATAGTTTTATTTTTTAGTTATACATTTATCTATTTTTGGTGGGGTTCATGTGCCCCAGCATGCATATGGAGGTCAGAGGGCAGACTGCAGAACTGAGTTCTCTCCTCCCTCCATGTGGGCTTCTAGGGACAGGTTTAGAGTATCAGGTCTGACACAAGCACATTTACCCACTGAGCAGTTTTCTTGGTCCATAGCTGATAGGGTTTTGTGGGGTTTTTTGGTTTTGTTTTTCTTTTCGAGAGGGTTTCTCTGTGTAGCCCTGGCTATCTTACGTGGACCCCGTGCCTCTGCCTTCCCCCAACCCCCTTGCTGGCATTAAAGGCGTGTGCCACTATGCCCAGCCTCATGGTTTATAGTCTTATCCGTTACGCATACAAACGGTTTATAGAATCAAATGGACTGGAGAGATGGCTTAGCAGTTAGGAGCACTGGCTGCGCTCATGGAGGAACTGGGTTTGGCTCCTAGTAGCCATGTGTGGTCCTCACAACTGCTGTATCTCCATTTCCAGGGATCCAACCCCTTCTTCTGGCCTCTGTGGGTTCCTGCATACATACAGTGCACATACATGAATGCAGACTCATACACGTATGCACTTTTTAAAAATTAAATTATTTTATACAACTTGTTGAGATAAATGGCAGTCACCCTCCCCTCCCTAATTTCTTACCTTTTACTTGACTGTTTATTTTATTTATTGACACAGGATGTCACTGCGTAGCCCAGGCTGGACTTGGACCGTGATCCTCCTGCCTCTTTCTCCTGAGGAATGGATGCCACCACATTGAGCTTCAGTTCTCCAGGGCCTCACAACTCTAAACTGTATACTTACATTACTTTTATTTTGTTTTAGACTGCCTGTTGACATCTCGCTAACAGCGTTAGGCTTTGGCAGTCTTTTATTCCTTTCCTGCACAAATGAAAATACCCACACGTGCTCTTAGACCCTCATTTGCACAGTGTAGTTACAGTTTTGGTCCACTCTGCAGCTGGTGTGCATACTGGGGTAGTCCTATACCTGCTGTGGTTGGCTGAGTCACATGGCCCACCAGCGTTGTTTTTCGTTTGCCGGCTTCGCATTTTCTCTGCTTAATAATGATCTCATCTTTTGCTTAGTTTTCTATATGCTTGATTTGTCTCGTGCCGCCACCCAAGCTGTCGGAATGTCTTCTGAGTGCATGAAACTGCAGTAGCGGTTGCCAGCTTTCATCTTTTTGCTTTTTCGAGACAGACAGGGTTTCTCTCTGTAGCCCTGGCTGTCCTGGAACTTGCTCTGTAGACCAGGCTGGCCCCAAACTCAGAGATCTAGCTGCCTCTGCCTCCTGGAGTGCTGGGATTAGCCACCCCCGCCCCGGCTATTTGTAATCTTTTTGTCAGCATCTGTTCTAGGACTTCCAGACTGTTCTAGTCAACTCTGTGAACTCTTGGCCTATTGTAAAGCTGCTCTCTAGGCATCTTTTCTTTGTTTGTTTGTTTGTTTGTTTGTTTGTTTTATTTTTCCTCTTGGCATCTTTACTGTCGGCTATGGTAAAGCTTTTCATCAGCTTTTCTTGTGTTTCAACTCTGGTTTCTTGAACTTCATATTTTCCTCTCTCTCAGCTTCTTCATCACTGTTTTCAAAGAATTTTGCCTCCTGGGTGCAGAACACAGGAAACAGCGTTAGAGCTGCCTGCATCCTTGTGTGGGAACACCTAGTTTGCTGGATTGGAAATGACTGAGCCACAGGAGTTTGAAAGCTGTTTTCATTGTCTGTTAGCTTCCTTTGTGGCTGTTGTTCTGAGCCTGCACCTTTGACTATTTTCTGTCTGTGTCTCTGGATGTTTCTAGATTTTTAAAACTTTTTTTTTTTTTTTTTTTGTCCCCAGTATTTTGGAATTTCAAATTGTGTATGTGCATTGTTACTCATTTTTGCCGTGTCACAGACTGAAACTTCTTATGGAAACTCAGGTCCTTCTGTTCTGGGATAGTGTGTTTTACTTATTCCTTCTTTTCTGTTTAAAAAAGTTTTTTTCTTTTTTGTGCTGATTTCGATGTGCATGTTCTGAGCCTGGTCCGCTCCTTTTTTTTTTTTTTTTTTTTTTTTTTTTTTTTTT